TATAGTCCAGGAAACTACGTATAAGCTGTTGAAAATAAGCATTAACACTTATGCTTACGTCATGACAGGACAGCAGTTATGTAATGCCAGTCTTTTGCTGGCTACCTAGCCGCTGTTTTTGCTGAGCCCTATCATCTGCCTCTCTTCAGTCTCGTTTAATACATGAACCTCATCCAGGACCTCCTCGCTAAAAAGGACGATTTGTCAACAAAATACATAGGTGGTCACGCCGGGGTGATCACAAAGCTTAAATTGGCGCGTGGACTCCGAAATCGGTAATCAAGTATACTTCTAATATTTATCGATTTTGAAACGGCAGCCACATTTTACATGCGTGAGTAAAACACAAACATAACACACAATTGAATAGTTTTGTATAGCTCGACATAAACCGTCCGAGGTAATCGAAATAGCACGATGGGCTGTAATATTGACAATCATGTGTTTTCCATGGTGGCCATAAAGTTGTAAGCAAGGCGTCGCGAATGGAGTCGAATGTTTCACTGAAATCGTTGTTATTAGACTTACGGTTCAGAATATCACTTTGATGATCCATTGAAGTAAAGTTACATAAAGGTTTGTATTTAAGTGGTGTAGGTTAGATGGTATTGATCGCGCGGGAGAGCGAGGCGCGTGGTTCACGCGGGCGGCAGGCAGCGCCGCTACTGCCGCCCAGGCTGCCGCCGCGCCGCCCGCCCCAGTGCCCACCGACCGCCCGCCCCGCGCCGCGACACGGCTGCGCGGATAAACTTCTATTTTGACCCTCGACGGCACCGACGGTTCCTCGTAGAATTATAACGTCCACGTGAACGACTTCAGTAAAGTTGTTCAGTTACAGTGTTCACCAAATCCGTCATGTTTAACATACATACTTACACTTCACGCCCTCTTCCCGTGGAGGTAGGCAGAAGTCGGGTTACAGCCTTCTACTAGCTAAGATCCTGGTATACAAAGTTATAAAAATATACAAATTTTACAAACAACTTATTCTTCTTTATAATGTTATATACCATCGATGATTCCACCAATGTCAAGTTAAGGAACACATGCGTTTTTTCACTGCGAGGAAAATCTACAACGACAGAGAACATACACAGACTATTACACAAACAAATTGTTATTTTTAATATATTTACACAAGACACACAAAACTAGGGGACTAGGGTGTACTTCCACCGGCGAGACGAGACGAGAAGAGGCGAGACGATTTTTAAAACTTGTATGGCAAAATATAAATTCTCTCCTAGCGCATCTTCGGTGGAAATGGTCGGGATCATGGATTGACGAGGATGGGCGAAACGAGATTTGAAATATTTGTTGATGTAACATTGAACCGTATAGACTCTATAATAACTGTGCAACGGAAACATTATTCACGATGTCTCGTACGATATCGCGCGAGCTTGTGCGTGCTCGCGATGGCCATTATTATTCTGTCAATCCTGAGATTGTGGGATACAGTCGCGTGCATTGAAATGTAAACGTTAACACATTTTCGAAATTATGTAAATATTACATATTTCAAAAAATGTACCTTGTCCTGTTTTCAAAAACATTTAATCACGACACCATAAAAAGGTATACTTTTATTTCAGAGATAAATAAACAAACTACAGTCAATGAAAAATATATAGTCCTGGTGTCATACATGTATCAGTATCATTTTCGTAAATAATTGTACAATGCATATTACATACTTATAATTCCATCAAAATGTACACGATTAGGATTGTGATTTTACCATAATTATATAACCACTTTTAAAATATTGCAGTGCTTTCAAAAATAATATACACAATATAGTTGCAATATAATAGTAAACATAAACTTTTTTACGTGTATTTTGCTAGTTCGTAATATTTGCCCTAGGATAAAAGATAACATTAAAAAAACTTTTTATTTTTATTTATTATTTATTTATTTATTTTGTCTTAGAAATTGCAAACAGCTTATATTACAACATGATTATTTCTTTTTACAGTATCTTCATCTGATTGTTTTTCCGTTAACATATTAAATAATAAGAATTTGCGGGATATGGTACTTTAGCCGTGTGTTTATCGCAAGACGAATTGAACAGAAGTGTTTCTTCACTATCCATAACCCTAGCGCGAGACCGCGCGTGCTTGCGCGCGCTCGCGATGGCAAATTTTGGTGGAAATAGGTTGGCGACATTTCAATTCTCGCCTCGCCTCGTCTCATCTCTCCTCGCCGGTGGAAAAGCACTTAACCCTAGGAGGAAGTCAATATTAACGGGACAGGGGATTTTAGGGAGATAGAGGATAGAGGAGTGACGATACGGTTACAGTCAAAAAACAGGTGCTCGAAAGTACCTTCTGCCAGACCACCCTCGCACAGGGAGTGATCTCGAACACGAACAAACAACTTAAAGATTAAAAAATGTTCGTTCTATTTATGATGCTGTCATAGACCATATAACTTTACTATTAGAACTAAGCTCATTCTCAATATACATTAGAATTTACAAAATATCGTGTTTGCATAAACCAAAAGTGCCTGCAAATTTCTTATTCTTAAAGAGTCGTCGATACCGAGACTACATTAAGGTGGAATTATCAAGATTTTTCTCCATACGTATACTTATAGAAAACGGTAAAGATAAAGTAATCAAAACGAGATATAATCATTTCCACCCTCTTGCTAACGCACTTATATCTACTTAGTTACTTACGAGGCTTTAATAAGCTATTAAAGCCTCGATAAAATTTAGGATAGCAATATTAAGATGACCTTCTTCCGTTCTTAAAAGAATCAAGTCTAGGTTTAGGTTATAATATATAAATAATTGGGTCATTTCACGTAAAAAAACATTTTAGAAAATTGTTACAATTATACAATAGTGAATAATGACAGCGGAAGTGATTGTTTGCGATTAGTCGCGAGTACGGAGTCATTTAAAAAACAAAATAATGAAGCAGCATGAGTCGAGATTTACGACACTATAGTTCGAACTGTATAGCCGCGTGCGCAGGTCGCCGCGCCGCAAAAGAACTCAGTGCGTCTATAAAAATATCGTAACCGTACAGTGTATAAAACGTAGGAAATATTTTATAACAAAGCAATTATTGACATTATAGGCACTATACATTGAAAATATAAAGGCTGTAAAGCTCATGTTCACTTTAAGAAAGAAATGACGCAGATTTTAAAAACTTATACAATACAAATAGAAACTTAAATTGAATAAATCGAAATTAGCATAATTACTGTAAACAATAAAACCAAATATAATAAACATATTGTTATTGTCACTCTTAAAGCTAATAAACACAAATGAAACTTTAAAAGAAAACAGCAAAAAAAAAATGGCTGGAGTGTTATTCATTGTAAACATACCACGTCGTGAACACGAAGAAGAATTAAGAAATAAGGAGAAAACTATAAAAACTGCAAACGCAAAAGAACACTGTGATCAAACATCAAAAATTATCAACGAATTAAAAGAGAATAAAAAATTCGATGATTTGAAGAAAACCATCAAATCCCATTTACAGGAAACGGATAACAATGTCATATCAAAGAGCAAATCTACGGATTGCCTTAATCCAAATAAACAAGAGACCGGGCTATACAAATCAAAAACTGAAACGACACTGAACGTGGACTCGGGTACTGACGAGGAAAACATCTTAAAGTCCTCATGGGTTAAGCAAGTGATGAAGCCCAAAAAGAACAAGTTGAAAATAACAACACCAGATCGAGGAGTGAACATTTTAGCTACTTTTCGCTGTGATACACCTCTTGAAGTTGTAAGTGACTTGGATAATTACTAAAATACTATCCCGTTACACTTTCCTATCGAATGCCTTCAAAGATTTACTGTATTGAATGACTCTATAATAATTTTCAGTTCTATAATGATTATAAATTACATTATCTACTAGGCTGTGCTATTTTGAATCCCTATATAATATTATCTTCTTTGTACCATTTTGTAGAAAATACATTTTATCATATAAGAATAAGTACTACGTGTGATCATACGTCAAAAGTGTTTCTGTGAAAGTCATTAGAATTATACGAACTACATTTATCAACTTACGTATTTGTGAAATTTTAAAAATATCCTTGTTTAAATAAAAAAGTTATCGACGAAATTCGTTCATAAACCTCTTTACTTAAAAGTTATCTTAGGAGGTTATTAACATTATTACACTAAGGGTGCGAAATATCACAGGTCAGAATTTTAAAATAAAATTACTTTATTAATAAAATAAAATTAGTAAGTTAATAAATTAAAGTAAATTATTTAATAAAATTACTAATCCGAAAAAAAAACAAAACATTTTCTTTATAAAATTGAAGTAACGGCTCCGGCGAGTGCAACTATAAAAAGGTTTATCATTCAAGCATCCCTCGATGGATTTAAGTATAGTGTTTCTAGGTGACATATCATAATCCAGTAGCATGTGTATCAGAGTAACGAGTCCAAAAATTTAATTACTAACTTATGTAATATTATTATCACATGTCATTAGCACGCGGGAGGTTTATTAAAGATACAGCGACTGACGTTGACAACTTAATTATGAGCACCTAATTTATATTTGCAAACCAGCGTATCTATATATTTTATTATTACATTGTCGTTAACTACTTGTCTAGCAAGCAAAAGAACAATGAGAGCAATTTTCAGAATAAAAAATATACAAATGGAAATATTTGCTCTAATTCAGATACACTGCTGTATTTGAAGCATTAGACTAAAGCTTGTAGAGTCAATTCAACGACGTTTATTTCCATTAAATAAGTAAGGAATTAAATTTAACATCCGATATTAAGTAGGGTTGTCATATAGGTAGAAATTTAAAAACAAAAAAATAATAATAACGTCATATAACGTTCAAAAATTTTGCAACGATTGCACGTAGATACAAAGAAGGAAATTGCATGGCACCTTTCCAGTAGCACAATAAAATTTTGAACATTGATTGCCTTTTATCATTAAGCTAAGTTTCCGTTTCCGCGCATTCAGTTTAGTGGCACGCTCTTATGGCAGCTCAAATTCGAAACAATGGTCAGGGAAATTCATTTATTTGTACACAATCGCTCTCGATTTGTCTAAACTTAAATATTCAAACATGTTTTTTAAACAATCTCATCACAATGGCGCGAGTAAATGTGCCACCAGGATATGACCGTCGCAAAAGTTTTCCTGAAGTGTATTCAAAAATATTAATTCGTTATCGTCATCAACCCATCATACGTCACACTGCTGAGTACGGGTCTCAGGGTTTAGGGCTTAGAATGCGAGTAACGGATAGCACGTTTTCCAAAGTTTGTGAACCAACTTCGACAGGCAGATTTCTTAACGATATTTACTTCCCCGCTAAGTATTGGTACCTGCTATTGTACCTATATTCACAAATGCCGCTACAGGAATTCGAACTGTCAATTGAGAATCAACCATTCTCCCGCAGAGCTATCACTGCTCAATAACTAAAACTATAAAAACGCTGCAAAATTCAATATGTTCCTATTTACTTTCAGATACTTTCAGAAGTCATTACTCGTCTAAATGTCAAGAGCGCTGGATGGAGTTCCACAAAAGACGACAAATTTTGGAAGGTAATTATGACCACCTTCAATGTTAAGTAAATACTACAACAATAATCATTTACCTCATGCCTGATGAACGCAAAATCACGACAATGGCCTGAGAAATCTCAATTAGATAATATGTCCTTTCCGTGTTCCTTTAAAGTTATTTAATACGTCACTGAAAAAGCAATCTTCGGCCTTATTAAGAGGATAGGAATCTTGATAACCGCGATGCTCGCCAATTATTCTCATATCTTCAGTCATAATAGTTAGCATTATGTATTGGACGTGCTTAGCGTTCAGAACGGGCGAAGAGTCACCTATTTGGCTTGATGATCCAAAAGACAATGGTTCAGTAGACTTTCTTGATATAAAACAAGTCGCTGTTAAAGATGACATGTACGGTGTTGCCGTTGTTGAATGGTTATAATAGGAAGAACTCGAATAGATTGCAGTTGGTAAGTAACGAACATCTTGTATATTTTTTTATGATACTAGGTAATGGGACAAACAAGTCGAGCGCCTGGTGGTGAACGACACGCCTGTCCATAACAAACCCATTGCCCCTCAGCTTTAAATCACAAAAATCTGAGGGGCACTGCCACTGCGCCCGTTACCCTGAGACACAAGTTGAGAAGTTCCATGTACCTATAATTTCAACTAGATAGACAGATAGATAAAACGTTTATTGTCTTGCAACACCTACACAACAATATAATACATTTATGTATTAAAAGAGAGACACAGAGATCAAAATTTAAAAAATAATAATAAAAAATAAACAACAAGAAATGAAATTTAAAAAAATATATGTACATAAAAACAAAATACTAATCTAATTATCAACAGCTTGTGTGTGCTGCAGCAAGCTAAACAGGTTGTGGCTCAGTGCAAAATTTGCCCACAAAATTTTAAGCCACCTCCTTCGAGGGTAGTGCGTTGCCATGCATCCAAAGCAAAAACATTGTGAAAGAAATGTAGTGTGCATATGTGTGTGATGTGAGGTTATGTAGATTATATTAAATAAATAATAATAATTAAAAATTAGTAATATTAAAAATGATTAATACAAATTCATAATTGAGATTATAATTAAAGTAATAATCATTATTTAATAGCGATAAAAGTCATTGTAAACATAAAAATGATAGTAAATGCCTATGATGATGATGATGATGATGATGATGACGATATAAAGGGACTTCATTTTAGAATCCAACGGTATATAAAACGTTTAGGATTACTCAAGTTTTGCCTATCAAAAATAAGTTTCCTCAAATGTATTTTAAAAGTAATCTTAGATTTAAGGAATCTCAGCGGGTGTGGAATATTATTCCAACACTTTGTAGCTTGATAGCGGAAGCTTCCAGTAAAAGCCATAGTGCGATGGAATTGTCCCGCCAACAGAGGCCTCATAGTTCTAGTGGAAAATTTGTCGTGAAAAGTGGAAAGTTTTGATTTTCCATACAAGTACTCCGATTTTTGATACTTTATCACGCCAAATAACACACACGCGAGATGTAGTTGTCTTCGCGAGTCCATTTTTAACATGTTTCGACAACAAGCATTTTGTACACATCGAATCAGGTGTAGTAGGGTTTTAGTTACAAAACGAGGACCGTAATTCAATTTGGAAAGAGTCAGTGATTCAGAGATGGAAATCGGGCATACTCACATAAATAATTACGTATTTTGTAGCACTTCCCAACTTGCTCCAAGTACGTGACTCTCAAAACGTAATTGACCATCATGTGTAATGCTAAGATTTTTTGCCTCTGCAAAAAATCTACATTGCCTACACATGAGTCATAGGTCAGTGGAGAGAGTGGAAAGGTCTTGTCGAGAGTCCATGGTTAGTCATTTGGATTCGACACTTAAGGCGGCCTCCGATTGGGGCGATGGCAATCTTGTCAAAATTAACGTACCAAACTGGAAGCGTGTCTATTCTCCGCAAAACGGAGTCCCTTCGACCTGACTCCGAATTATCGCGATACATCTATACCGGTAGCCGACTGTCTCCAGCTATTTGGCATGGACCTGTCGTCCAATTTGAACTTCGGCAGATACATCCATCAAACAATCCATGGCCAATGCAGCCAAAATGTTTGGCATCCTTTACAGGGTAAGGCGTTACTTTACACCGGGACAGTTGCTTCGGCTGTACCAAGCACAACTCCGGTCATGTATGGAGTACTGCTGCCACCTATGGGATGGCTCTACTACATTCCAACTGGCCACCTTAGATTCAATCGAGAAGCGTGTCAAGACGCTTATAGGTGACTCAGAATTAGTAGAGGCGAAGCTGCAAAGCCTTGAACACCGCCGTAAAGTTGCCTGCTTATCGGTATTTTACAGGATATATCACGGACAGAACGGAATTAATTCCGCTTTCCCCTTTTCATTATCGGGGGACTATTCGCAGGCTTGGGGTTCCACCCCTATGTTGTGGATATTCTTTGTGAATGTTGCGGATAAGAATTCGCACGAAGTCTTTCGCTTCCACATTTACATGGCGAACGGCTATGGAGTGGAATTCCCTGGCTGCAGACTTGTTCCCTGAACGTTTTATCTTGGAACTTTTCAAGGCGAGAGTAAATAGGTAGGCATTATTTAGGTGTGCATGCTCTATCGTCGACCTCATCGTCACTTCCCACCAGGTGAGATGGAAGTCAAATGCGCACTTACTTTTTAATAATTAAAAAAAAATTCGAGCCACAACACTATTCACGATCTAGATTTTAGGATCTTCGTCTACTATGTTGCTTATTTATTTTTTACTACCAAATACAATAAACTTGGACTTCATCGGGTTTAGAATTAGTGCATTCCGAGCAGACCAATCAGCAACTTTCTCAAGGTTCTCAATCGTTCATCCGCACTTGTGATTCGTGTCTATGCTTCATATAAATTATTAAGATTTACGTGCACTATAAGTTTCAAGAATGAGTAAGAAAAAAATACTTTAAATGGTCAGAAATTAATTTATGATTTCTCAAAATATTCTCCGTTAGCTTAGAGGCACTTTGCACGCGCGCCACTTTGGTTGGTTTCGGCTCATCTCGAAAGACGCTTACGCTCGATTGCTGCTTTGTTTTGGGATCGTAACTATAAATCTATGTTTCGTCACCTGTTAATAATAACAGGTGACGAGTGGGATATAGGTCCCACACCAAATTTGACGCCCCTTCGTTGACTCTGGTAAGCATGGCATTGCACCAAGTGACGCGGTCCGTTTTTTGAGCCTCAGTCAAATTGTGTGGGAGCCACCGAGAGCACAGCTTTTTCACACCCAAATGTTTATGTAGTATTGATTGTATTTGACTCATGACTATGCCTAAAAATGCCCGAATCTCATGGTATGTCACATGCCTGTCTGTGTTAATCATACGGCGCACAACATCGATGTTTTTGTTGTTCAAAGCAGTGGACGGGCGACCATCACGAAATTTGTCACTGAGATTCACGCGACTACGTTTGAATTCTGTAAACCAGCTATAAATAGTCGTCTTGCTTGGTGCTTCATCGCCAAAAGCAGTTTGAAGCCGAGCTGCTAAATTACACTTAAAATCGTAGAAAATCATACAATGAAAATTTTCACGAGTTAAATCCATGGTGATGTAGACAACCAATTTGTAAAATGACACCACAATGTAAAAACAAGTGGCAGTCAGATGAAACAAACTGTATTCTACGGCCAAATTTTTAAATATTGTTTATGTAAGTGGTCAGTTCCGGAAACTTATAGTGCGCCCTATGTACTACCCTTCAAAACCGGAACGCAGTAATGCTCACATTACTGCTTGGTGGCATAAATAGGTAAGGTGTACTTCCCTGGACGAGCTGTTTTGCAAAGAACTCTATTGCTACTATATTATAATAATAGCTGAAGCGCAGCGAGCGAAGCGAGCGTAATTTTCTTGGCAGACTCAAAATGCACAATCTACGAACGGAATACTCGGCCGTTCCTTAACCTATATGAATTAAATTTGAAACTAGCATAAAAATACAATTCTACAGTTCATGAGGAAACCGAAGTTTTGAATTTTGATCTGTGACTTGACATCATTGTAAAAAAAATTATAAAATTTCGCAGAGATTGAGAAAATAAAAATATTTGCCCGCACAAATTATGCACAGCTGTAAAAAAAAGAAAAATAAGAAAGACTAATTAATGTATCAACATTCCGCCTAGTCAATAGTAGGTTTTATGGGCCACACCCAAAAATCTATGATAATTCATTGTTAAAAGTTTACCTATAGCATTCAAATATGTATGAAAATTGCAATAATAAATATTACATTTATAGCAGACCAAATATCCTTATGGACCCAAAACTTTTGTAAACAAATTAAGATTTAAAATTTAAATTGGCAACTTATTGGGTATAAGTAGGTCTACCAAAAGAATATACACAGGAAGTCGTAGTAGCTACCCAACACCCATATGTACAAGTCGATAAAATCTGTAATGTCTCATACAGTGAGCATAATAATATCATTGGTCTTATAAATCAATTGCAATTTTTGACGTGTGATGACTTTACCACCTGAGTCAGCTGTGATCATAAGACCCGTAAAACGCCCGAAACGTTGGTTTGTTTGAAAAAACAAATATACGCGATTTAGATCCGAAAAAATAGCTTCATTTCCTATGTGTAACAATCTCGAAAACCTAAGTACTTGATATTGTTATAGCAATTAAAGATCCTGTCGTGCTACTGTTTCGTGAACCTGAATTTCGACGACGGAAACTTTCAGACTTCGAAACCGCAAGATTGGTTAACTTCAACTACTTTCACAGTCTAATGACATACGGCATTTTGCTTTGGGGTAATACCGCCGATATGAATAGAATCTGTGTCCTGCAGAAACGTGCGGTTAGGGCCATTTACAATCTAGGCCCCAGAGTTTCTTTGAGAGATAAGTTTAACATTCTGACACTGACGTCACAATACATTAATGAAAGTGTAATTTATTTTAAGAGAAATAGTACTTTCTGTATGAAAAATAATGACAGACATAACATT